ACAGGTCAGTCGCATCAAGCCTCAAAGCTGAATGTGCTGTGCTGTATGCTACAAAACTGATGTAAGACACATCGCACCTTGGTTACAGTGGTTGCAGTAATAGCTCCATGTGGCGCGAAGAAAGCGACTCTGTACTTCAATTGCATACAAGGTCGAAAAGTTCATTCAGTAATCAGTCGATATCATCTGAATAATGACCATATAAATATTTCGGCCAGTTTAAGAAATCTGGGAAATTTTAATTTTCGGAGGCACTGCTTAGCTCTGAATGGCATGAAATGACATCATCGTCACCCTGACTTCTAATGAGAAATTGTGTGTCATCCAAAAAGTGTATAGATGTGTAGAAAGCGCTATGAAAGTTAGATTCAGATTACTTCAAGCACAAATGAAACTTCGCATAAACCATCGTGATAATCGAGCCTTACCTGTGTACTGCAAATAGTGGTGATTTAGGTTGTTCCGATCAAATTCTCATGGCGAGAAATTTTTCATGCAAGCATTAGTGGCACAAAATTACATCAACCGAAAGCACATCAGCACAAACTGATAGTGAACACAATGGCCTGCCTTTTTTCAATCATTTTTTCGCAGCCCGTTTCTATTCTCCGAGCACTCATCTTCTAATTAAGGAGACATGAACAATCCAAGAACATGCTCAATATTTCTGCCACTAAGTCTGTGACACGTCACTGTTTTCCACATTCTTCTGAATATATAATGACGATTTCAGACAAAAGAGATCTTTAAAAATAGGTAAATAAAAAATGAATAGACTTTTGATACTTGTCATTCCCACAGCGATTAGCTGCCACTTCCTCTTCTGATCAAGGATTTATGAATTTGAATACGATTCCCACTCAGACTGTTTCTCACCAATCGACAGACGCTCCATATATCTCGTCTACTTCATCCTGTAGTGAAAAAACAGGGCTAAAACTATGGCATATATTTCACTTTCTAGTTTGATTGCACTTGCATGTTAGCAAATGGATCGATCATTCAGATTTTTGATTAATGGGCGAAGTTTAAAGGCACTACTTCCATCAGTTCAATAGATGACACAGCGAATCACTATCGCCTTAACAATTTATTAAAACACTCTCATTCTCGATTGTGCAATTTATCAAAGATGTTCTCTCTTAAAATTTTTATTTTGCTACCTAACTCGTATTTTAAGGTGGGGTACGATGTGATCTATAATCCTAAGTAAGCTAAATCAAACAAAACTTGAAAACTAATGCCTTCGAGTCATGGACTTTCACCGCCACCAAATCTTTCTCGGACAGTGTACGGAAGAACGAGATCATCGAGATTTTTGCTCTCCTCTCAGCTGTGTTCCAACCTACTCGGCGAGTGTCGGCAATCATCTGTCACGGAATATATGCAGAATGCATAAATCTGCCCGAAAAGATACAGCGACGGTTGGAGTCCATGACACAAAAGAACAGGCTCCAAGTTTTCCTAGTATGCCCGCTCTCTTGCTGTTAAAATCTAATTTATTCTTTTGCTCAAAGTATAGATTAAGTTTGGGCATTTTTTCGATGTTTTTCCCTAACTTTATCATCTACACCAATGCTTTCTATCAGGAATAGTAGGTCAAAACTTACTGCGTACGTCATTAGGATAGATGCTTCGCTAAAAGTACACAGCGAAGTGTGCTCACGCACGTATTAGTGGGACTTTCACTTCTGTTGCACCTGGGATGACAGATATAGCAAGATGCTCACAACTATTTTGAACTTTTCCACTCAACCTGGAAGTAAAATCGTGAACGTGGAAGCGCTCACCACTTATTGAGCTTCTTTCCTCCTACTGCTGAAAATGCATCACTTCTCTGATTCACCTGTTGCAGTGGTTGTCGAGATGGAATGGTATCCAGTAGGCACTCCACATAGAATTCTGCACTAAAAACCTTTGAAGTCTCTTTATGAAGACCCATTTCGTTCAACAAATTCATGTTTGTTTCCACCGAAGTTTGATCACAATGTGGTTCAGTCTAGGCTCACCGTATACGCACAAAACGCCTCTGTCATCGTTTGTACAACTCAGAAGATTGTGTAATTTGCGAGAGGAGCACTTTGTGAGTTCAATCACAATTTATTAGCTCGCATGTAAGGCATGCAGAAATAAATACATTGGCGAGATGGAAGGACCACTTATTGTCCGCATAGGAGAATATCTAGATCAGAAAATCAAAATTCGACAAAATACTCACCTAGGTATACATAGGGCACAAGAGCAGCACGGAAATGATTTCGATGCGAGTATCACGATCTTGGCGCAGGAGTCAACATCAATGCGCAAGACTCTTAAAGCGTTTTCGATAAATGTAAAAAACCAAAAATAAATCGGAAGGAACTATCACGCCCGACATGGTTCCTTTTCTCCACTTGAGCTTCTGACCTGACCTAAACAATAGAAAACGGACCTCTCGGAGTTGATCAATTCCTGAGAGATGCATAATGCATTCGTCTTTGATGTTTAACTTCGTTTAAGATGAGTGAACGCATATCTGGCCTTCACAATGACTCGCAATGGCCTCCCGCTGTACCGACTTGGTGCTGCTTATCCTTCCACATAAGTCTGAGACCAGTCTGTTGCCAACCAACCGATCCCAGAGTGATGGATGGCTTGGTGAGCCATGAGCGCGGGATTGAATCATTAACCTCGTGTGCGACGCGGAGCACCTCTAACCACTGCGCCACATGTGACCTGACCTAGGTGTTATAAAAGGCATCGCTAATCTACAGAATCAAACAAACAGTCTAATACAACGTACGTCCGAGCTTTGAAGAAGATGGAGTCGTCGAAACATTGACCATTGAACTAAATTTGCTTCTTCTGCTACTATGACTGCTACTATAACTATTATCAAGCTCACATTGGCTAAGCAAGATAAGTCTTCAAGACCTACATATCAATAATGTCGGTCTTTTGAGTTATCAAAGACATTGTGAGAGCATTGTGAATAGGTCGACTTATAAATGTGAGATCTGTTACGACTATTGGAATGTCCATGCTATCTTTCCTACTTCGGCACTTTCGTTAATTCATTTGGTATTTATTTGGAGGTATCAATTATCCAAGTATAATCACCATCATGACCACAAATTTCTCCTCCCACAGATGCTTCTTCAAGGCGTGGAAGAGATAATAATCCGCTGGAAGAATTCAGGGCTATACATTGAATGTGGTACTCTGTCTAGCTCATTTTCTTCAAATGTGGCGAGTCGACTTTGTAATGTGACATGGAGCGTTATCCTGGAGTAAGACGACACTGAGCCGTTTTTCATGCTTCTCTTTGACCGCTGCGGCCAACTTCCGTTGTTCCCCATAGATTTTGGCATTGAACGGCTGCTTGTAATTTAGCAGCTCTCAGAATACCATGCGCTGTCAATCCTAGAAAACCGAGAGCGCAGTCTTTTGAGCAATGAACATGGGCTTCGCTTCAGATGTCTATCGAGACAAGACTTTGAAATAGCCCATTTCATTTGAATGGCGAGGGATGGTCTATGGCCGTACCACGTGCTACTGGAATATTCTCCAATATACCACAGCCTTTTGGTGATACCTGATTTCAAATAAAGAAAGAAATTTCAATAAAGCATTATTGCCTATGAAATTATGGGACAACCCAATATTATACCGATAGCCATAGAAGCTAGTCCTCCTAAATGATTTACTGTCCCATCGTGGCTGGGAGGTGTTCCGGGGGTGTCGGACTGCGGAGTACAACGGGCAGTTGAACCTCCCAGCACGGCCACCCAAGCACAGAAAGACTACAACATTCTCATTTGCAATTTTCAGAAAAGAGTAAAGCGCACTAGAAATGACCGCCGTATTGGTAGCTACTACTCACAAGGTGTAATTTCCCTCTGATCCACAAGGGCCGGCAGCTGCTCTAATGTGGTGACGACTCGAGGAAACCCCGGCTAGGTTTGCCTCTGGACTTCGGGAACAAAATAGTTAAACCAGCACATTTTCATGTGCTGCGGTCCGCACAGTTCGTGAAAACGGACCGTTCAAGTAAAGTAAGTAAGTAAGTCATAAGAGGTAATTTGCAGAGTGCTTTGAAATCGTAACCCATCTTTATTATGCATAACAATACCCATGAGTAGTCCGTTCAAGAGGACTGAAGAATTTCTGCTCTACAAGGTCACTGATTTCTATTTTTAGCATTACGTTACCTGCACTTGGCTTTGCGTGCACCACCTTGGATAGGACATCAGATCTTTTGGTAAACCTGATTCGAAACACTTTCTTACTCGTTTCCTAGAAATCTTTGCGTAGATCAAAGCATATGATGTAATGTACAGGACCTCGAGCAAGCCTCTGAAGATATCCATATATTTGCTGTAGGTGTGCCTAAGTCTGGCGCATCAAAGAGGCAAATAAATATGTCCTTAACGCTTTCTGTATGATGTGTATTGAATATGATACACCGATCGGCTCACTGGGGCTTACTGTAATGGGTGCACTCTCCGACGCAAATCTGATATGCAGTTGATGAACTCGTCAATTTTTTTTTGGTGTTATTCTATTCAGTTGAACACTCTTACATCTGCGATTATCGGCTTCAATACTTTACAAAGAATTTGTAATTATTAGCAGCAGGCAGTTTATAACAACTTCTCACAACGATACACACAATTATTTTCAAAAAAAATTCGCAGTGTACAATTATAACGTAAAACATGAACTATTCTTGGCAAGCTGTCATGCTTCACAGACAAGTAATTGTTGTACTGCTCACTAGGTATCATTGGCATTGCTTCTATTATCGACACCCTCACTGAAGTCTCTTCAGTCAAATTCATTACTTTAATATGGACGATACCTCTTAGGTGGGGATAAAGATTTTATCACGAAACTACAACTTAGCGATGGTAATGTATCCGGCCTACAGGTCGACCGCGCCGCGTAGCAAGTGGAAAATCAACGTCGTGGCGAAAAGGTAAAGTACAAATACACTATGTGGAGTACTGTGCAAAAACGTTTGCGTCAGCCGGGATTCGAACCCAGATCTCACTCTTTCCGGGAGCGTATGCTTACCGTTGCAACAGTACTCCACATATTGGGTATACTATAAGATCATACCACTGCAAGTGGCAGTCAAAATAGAAAGAATTTAGGCTGATTATAGATATCCAATGTCTGTCAACACAAGTGGGTTCAATGCCGATAGCGGCTGCCCCGCCAGACCGTCGACGGTTGGCTGTTGGCAGACAACGCGTTATAGCGTAATTAAGAGTGCTGTGCAAAGCGAGAGTCGGTAGTGCAGCGAATAGCATACGCTCCCGGAAAGAGTGAGATCTGGGTTCGAATCCCGGCTGACGCAAACGTTTTTGCACAGTACTCCACATATTGGGTATACTACAAGATCATACCACTGCAAGTGGCAGTCAAAATAGAAAGAATTTAGGCTGATTACAAATACATTCACGGTGAAGTATCATGGTGTTGTAATAGCAACGAATCCACCTCTAAACGTGATCTGCCATAAAGTTCGCTCACACTCCTATGTTAGCCTAGCATTGCATTAACACAGAAATGCGGTCTAAATGCACGATTGCTCAATTTCTGCAGGAAAACGAAAAGGTGACGAAATTCAAGAAACAAAGCCCTTGTGTTTTTCTCTAGGTGGCTTTGGAACGCAATCCTAACTGGCAATGGCAGTGTGCAATTCAGTAGACCTCTCTAATTCCTTATAGTAGTGATAAAAAAGCAAGCAGCTCAAAAACATTGAGAAAAGTTTTTTCCAGAAATACTTTTGCTGCAATGCGAATATGGAATCACACGAGCCGTAGAAGCCACGAAACTGAACGCGACTTTGTGAAGCTTTGCAAAGCAGAGGTGAAAGATCTCAAAAATAGTAGCGGTGGCGAATTTTGTACATCACATTCTTAGGATTAAAGTGGACAGTGGCAGCGGATTTTGTACAACAATACTTACGAGCAAAGTGGACAAAGTAGACATTTTGGTATTTCGAACTTGTTACGGTATGTATCTATTCTAGAGCTTGTCCAGTACATTAAAGCGCTTAGTAATCTACGTGAAGGCTTGTTTTTGGGAGGTCATTTGGCAGCGGATGATTGGTACTGATGAAAAGATAACGTAAATGGAGAGTATTTGTTAACTCTGAAGCTCATAAGAAAATGGCTTTGCCTAAGTATTGTGCTTGTTCTTTTGAAGGCACCTTTTTGTTGTTACAAAATAATGACGGTGGAGAGTTTTTGGAGTGGCACGATTCTCACGCAGTTTGATTATAGTTCACCAATTTGCACCAGCACAGCTTATCTGTAGGATGGTGTCTTCTACAATCATTTTAAGTTATCAACCTCACAGGCATTCTGCTTATCAAAAATTCAATGAAAATAGCGGAAACCATCACTGGTTGCCGTTTAAGTTATATAGGATAATTTTTTTTTTCAAAACTTCACATTTTCTCATTTCTACCTTCTACTTTGTCTCTGGATAGTCCGTCTAATAGGTTTGCTAAAAATGATGCTATACACTGCATACAATGCAAGTTCTTTTGTAGCTCGCACGGTCGTACTTTAGGAGAACTAATAAATAGTGCATATGTTCCACTTGTTTGGTGTTTTAACATGCCAGACAGTGTAGTTTGAAATTACAGTTTTACAAAATCGTATAACAAAGTATAATAAAAATCGAAAATGTGTTGGTTCCTCGTTGACATCGCCTCCGTTTGCAAAAAAAAAATTTTTAGAACACAACGGCGCTCTTTTAACTCAGAAATCTTCATAGAAGTCTTTTCAGTGACATCTTATTTTCTTTGAATGATCTATTCAATGACTGCGAAAATATCGCTAATGGTGAGACCATAGAGGAGCACACAAACATTCGAAAGTAGAAAAGCAATTTTCGCTTTGTCGTTGCTACAGCGCAACAAAAAGGTCTTTTTAGGAAACGAATCCCAGTGTTTTATTCATTATTTTTTTTTTGGCTATCGAACGAATACTAAAACTATACCAAAAAAATCTCTATTCGAGGAAAAAACTACGAAAGGCTTCTGTGCTATTCAACGCCAGTTTAGTTCCTTAAAGTTCAATCTTCACAGCATTTTGGATTAATGCCGTCCGTAGCAATATTTAATAATTAGTAACATATGCATTACTTGAGCGTTATATAATTAATAACCTATACATTACTTGAGCGTACATTAAAGCGTTTATGAGCCAGTAATCTCTCAAACTCCTCAAGTCCTTTACTTATTGCAAATTTAGTGTTTGCTTCTGGATTCTGTTCATTAAGTTCTGTGATTTGTTTGCGGCCGATCGTAGCCAGCAATGAAATAAGGCGCTCTCCCACGCTTCAGTCATGCAATGTTAAGCGTTAGGTACTATATGTTATCAACAGCGCTTAGTAGTAGTCTAAAGCTGTGAATGTTAAGAAATTATTTCGCAATGAGGTTACTGAAAAGCAGAGACGTCATTATATGAACAACAAGTGCCCAATTCAATGTCTCTCAGAAGACTTTCGCTTGAATCCGCACTTCTATGGAATTACAGACGAAGGACGGCCATAGTCGCACGGTAATTTTCACTAGTATCGCGCACATTAGTTGTACGGGTACGTCAACTGGTTGCGGACAAGCCGCCATTTTGCTTCACTTTCATTGGCGTCAATTCAAAAGAGACCAAATTAGGTTGTATAAAGACGGTTAAAAAACATCAAGATAGTCAGATTTATTTTGTTGAAGGCGTGCAGCTGCTTGCAGTTATACAGCCCCTTCAAAACCGAAGCTTCATGATTGCATAAATACTTCACTGGTCTAAGGAAAAATACTTGAAAAGGCTTAGAGAAGTTTCACAATCTTTGTCATACTATTAGAATCAAAATAATTTCAAAAAAGAATGCTTGAAGCCTAAGCGAGGTGGTACGCCAGGGTTACAGTGATGTTCCGGAGGTCTCGCCCATAGGAGGTTTGTGCCGTCACCCACATGCGCCTCCCTTCTTGCTACAATGCAAGGCTTAATATGGGGCGTGGGTTACTGACGAGGAGGGCGACTGTGCCGTCACCAAAACGCCTCCCACCTGTGCAGGACTTAATGTGGGGCGTGGGTCACTGACGAGGAGGGCGAGACCTCCGAAACACCTGTGTATGGCTATGGCGCAAAATCTCGCTTAGGCTTTAAGCATTCTTTTTTCTTGGAATTGTTTTGAATGTTCATTGCGATGTTCTAAAAACAGTCGATGCCATGGATCACTATTAGATTTGCTCTTATGGTGTAATGCAGTAGCACCTAGAATGAATGCTAACCAATTTTTCGACCATATTAATGAATTTAACAAGATTTCGAGCACAAGGAAAGCAAGTTTTAGGAGAAAAAGCATTTGTTTATGATGCTATTCGTGTTCTGTGAATCTTCAAAATTTTCCACTACATTTATCCTTAAGTCGACATGAGTGACGACTTAGCACATGAGCTGAAGCAAGAAAAACGATCGGCTTGTAGAGCTTGCAATAGCATCATGGATACGCTAAGGAAGAAAAAAGTGATTGGCTCCATGACCCTTTCTTTGATCTTACAGCTTTTTCCACATTAGCGCCCTTGTCAGAAACCCAAATTCTACGTAAACAGTTAGAATAGTTACTGAAGGTTATAAAATGCACTAACAAAACGATGGTTCCAAAAAGGCCAGTATCGCCGTAATGGAAGAGGGATTCTGATTTCTTGACATATGCTGACCAGAAACGCTATTTTATACATTAATAAGTCGATATTCAAGCGAATCTGACACATAACACGCCTTAATCAAAGCCGGTGTTCAACGAATGATCTTCACGGTATATCTGCACGCGAAAAAACTATTGACTAAATGACAAATCTTCTTCATCGGAATTCGGAAAAAATAATATCATTCAGGTTCGCAGCAAAGTTGAGCCCAATGTACAGTTATGCAACGTGGAAGTGGCAAATGGCCATGCTGGCATATGCTCTATTGACATGCTAAGTAACAAAATGAAAGTGGTGAAAATAATTTTTCTGGTATATCTTTGTTTGAAAATAACCTTTCTAGGCGTCTTCCTAAATCATCGTTTTATGAATTTCTCTATCCACACTTTTTATCAGTTAGTTTCCCACATGGACTAAAAATGTGAAGTTTGCTAAATTATTTTTCAGAAAGGTTCAAATAAAGAAGTGTATAAACTACAATTGCAGAGATCTTTGAACTCTTTGTAGGATAAGAAACCTTCACTGAGGACTATATAATGGTTGCTGAAAAAGTTGAATCTTGCGTCGATCTTGTAAAGCTCCTCAAACGGAAGTTCAGACCTCATTTTTAGTACCGCTGAGAAGCTGTAAAAAAGAGAAAACAAAGGGTATGGATATTCGAGTACAACTAACGCAGCTGATAGTAAATACCGGCTGCAGAAGGCTACTACACGAGACTTTACATTGGTGCAGGCAGAAGAATTTGCTGTAATTCAGAAGTGATCCACATTTAAGAAGTACTATGGGAGTCTGCGGAACTATAACATATTAACGCTGATTATGCAAGATGAAGCAATCACCACATTTTGCCGTCAAGTATAATTGACAACAGAAAAGTTCTACTCTAATCAAGTTTGGTTTGGGATAGAAAGCACAAATAGAGGCACAGCTCCAAGACTTGTTAAGATCACCATCTACATTTTGAGAGCCGGAAGATACAAATTGCATGTACTTTTGGTAGCCTATATTAAATCTTACACTAAGAGAGAAAATCCCGAACTAGAGGAGGACTATGCGTGCAGTCATCCTACTCAAGAAGGGTTGTCAAATGGACCAACATAATTACCGCTCGATATTATTGCTAAATGTGTTTCAAGCTACTCACGAAGACAATCCTCTTAATCGTATCAAAGATCTTATATGGGCACGTCGAATTGCACAAGCAAGGTTCAGAGCAGAATTTTGCAGTATGAACCACATCACACAATGCACGTTACGGGTCATCGAATCTGTCGTAAGTACCACTCGCTCTTTATCCTTACTTTTATCGACTTTGTCTACATCGAAACGAAGAAATGCTAGCAGAGCTCGTCGATCAATATGTCGACCCG